AAAAGCTTTTAAGAACTTGTTTATAAGGTCTTCCAACTCTTTGACGATCAGCTGGTTAAAGCAGGGAAAAAAATGCAAAAATATGTCCTGGCTGTTTGATGCATTTGATTTTGACCCATTCCTAACTTAAGTGTTTTTTTCTTTTTGTATGTTTAAAAAAAAAAAAAAAATTCTGTGAGTTTGAAATGATTCTGTTGTAATTTTTGGTTTGAATGTGATTGGAATGGATGTAAGAAATACAGAGCTTAATTAGGATTTAACAGTTTTGGGGGAAAAAAGAACACCGGAAAAAAAAAAAAAATCTTTATTCCAACCTGAAATAACTGAGTTCTTCTGGGTGAGAGAGGAAAGTGTTTGTGATGCTCAGGAAGGATCCTGGTCCAGGACAGAACTCACTCTACTAACCACCTTGATCAGTGGTGTTCTGTTCCCCTTGATGTTGCAACACCTTCAACAGAACTCAGAATAAATCATTGCAAATGCCACCACAGTATGGTTCAAGTTTTTTTTAAAGTTTCCTGTACAATGTGAAGCGCCTCAGTCTCCTCAGTAGATGGCAGTGACATGCTGTGAAGTTCATGACTGGTGAGGCTCTGAATCCTCTAATGCCAGAAGTACAATTATATAAAAATAAAATAAAGATTATATTTTAACTCCTCCTTTACTGAATTCATTTAGCTGCAATGAAAAGCTTTTTATTATGCTTCACAAAAATTCTAGCACAGTTTTACATAAGAAAAAGAATTTTTACAAGTAAAAGTATTTTATATTAGGTTAAATTAGATTTTTGACATCTTACCTTGTATATAAAGTTCAAGGTCAGTAGTGGATCCAGAAAAATTTTTTGGGTGGTATTGTCTGGCAGAGACCAGTGTGCATTGTGGGTTGGCCAAAAACTGTTAGGCCTATAAGAATATGCGCTTAGTGGCTCCCTAAGCAGCCAAGTAAAAGAGGAAAAATTATCACTCATCAAATCGAAGCCAGAGATCGCTGCAGCTGTGAGTGATGAAGACAATAGTTTCAAACATGAACAGTACACAAAAGTAAGACAACTGAAACAAACTGATAAAGTAACTGGATCATGCGTAATGATGCAGCATAAAAAGCCCTGTCTGTGTAAAACGCTGCTGCAGATGGAAATAAACTGACCACTTTAGGTTTGATGATACTCAGAAGAATAAGAATAAAATAAGGATCAGAATGAATTAAGATAAGGATCACAGTATTTACAATCAATATTATTTTGTTATTTACAGTGATGCTAAGTATTAAATGAAAATTATGGGACATGACGATGTTATTGCACTATTGTGCATTTTTGTGGATTGGTTAAACTGGATAGACTGGGAGTAATCCCGCTAGGTCTTGCTCACTTCGTGTTACAGGCCTCTGGTCATCGCTTTGTTTGGAAATAAAGGCTAGTGAATGCATCACCCAAAAGCCTCCTATCCCTGTTACGGAAATATACTCTTACAGTATTGTTTATGTCCTTTCAACTGCTCCCTTATTCAGGTGTCACCACAGCAAATCAATATGCTAGCTCACAGGCTTGGCAAAGTTATACCAGATGCTTCTCCTAATGCAAATGAGATTCAAACCAGTAAAGATGACTTCAATCCCACATGAACGTCGTGATGTGTGGGAACTCCAAATGCCGTACCTTAGTCTGAACCTTTATCCGCTTTACCATCCTGGAGGAGACATGTGGGGAGAGAAAAGTTTGGGGATTTCTAGACTGCTGCCTCTGTAACCCTGCCCCAGATAAGCAGAACATGAAGAGTAAAAGAACATTTTGCTTTTTTGCGATCAGTGGTTTTATTTATGTAGTGAACTACTTGCTTTGGGTGCACTAGAATCACTCTCCCCCTCCCTGTCCTCTTCTTTCTCAAACTGTGTGTTAGGCCTGAGCACCAAATTTCATTGCTTCAATCAGTTTTGATGAGGACTGTTCATGACCAAAACAGAGATAGTGACAAGGGTGCTGTGTAGTGAGTTAAAATGGTTAAGAAATAAAGGCAATACAGAAACTTACAATCAGTTATGAGGAGATCAGAGCTTGGAGCACATGTTGAGAAAACTAGGCTCAGAAACATATTGCAGAATTAGGCTGGAAAAATCAGCATTGGAGCTGATATATTGGTCTTTAAAAAATAGGTAGGGGATGAAAGCAGGGAGCACAGGAAAAGAGTTGTTGTAGAAATAAAGACAGGGCAGCTGACTGAGGTAGATCGGTTTTCACAGATGCAGTAAGACAGAAGTGCTTAGAAATTAATGCCGTAAANTAGCTCACAGGCTTGGCAAAGTTATACCAGATGCTTCTCCTAATGCAAATGAGATTCAAACCAGTAAAGATGACTTCAATCCCACATGAACGTCGTGATGTGTGGGAACTCCAAATGCCGTACCTTAGTCTGAACCTTTATCCGCTTTACCATCCTGGAGGAGACATGTGGGGAGAGAAAAGTTTGGGGATTTCTAGACTGCTGCCTCTGTAACCCTGCCCCAGATAAGCAGAACATGAAGAGTAAAAGAACATTTTGCTTTTTTGCGATCAGTGGTTTTATTTATGTAGTGAACTACTTGCTTTGGGTGCACTAGAATCACTCTCCCCCTCCCTGTCCTCTTCTTTCTCAAACTGTGTGTTAGGCCTGAGCACCAAATTTCATTGCTTCAATCAGTTTTGATGAGGACTGTTCATGACCAAAACAGAGATAGTGACAAGGGTGCTGTGTAGTGAGTTAAAATGGTTAAGAAATAAAGGCAATACAGAAACTTACAATCAGTTATGAGGAGATCAGAGCTTGGAGCACATGTTGAGAAAACTAGGCTCAGAAACATATTGCAGAATTAGGCTGGAAAAATCAGCATTGGAGCTGATATATTGGTCTTTAAAAAATAGGTAGGGGATGAAAGCAGGGAGCACAGGAAAAGAGTTGTTGTAGAAATAAAGACAGGGCAGCTGACTGAGGTAGATCGGTTTTCACAGATGCAGTAAGACAGAAGTGCTTAGAAATTAATGCCGTAAAAGTAAAAAATAAAATAAAATCCACTGGACTTGGTTTCCAAGATTTGAAGACGTTTTGCTTCCCCTCCAGGAAGCTTTCTCAATCAAAAGTCTTTATATAGACAAGGCCTTGTATTGTTTGGAAACATAGAAATGGAAACCGATGAGAAATTCATGGAAACATAAAAAATATTAACTGACCAAAAATATTTTTAGAACTAGATTATCTCTGGCTCATTAAAAGTTGTTTCTGGAATAAAAAGCTTTACACATCTGTGTAAAAATTCTTTAGTATTTAACTTTTTTCTCATTCTCTTTTAACAAATGCATTCAATTTAAATGGGAACCACTACATCAAAGGTCAAGCCATGAGAGCATTTGAAACTGGATCTCTCTGGCCCAGTTGCTATAAAAAGGTCCTTGTTTATGTGAGGAAATATTAGTCTGGACAGAAGAAGGAGACAGCACTGAGTGTTGAAGAAAACAACGCAAGGTGGATATCTCTAAATTCATCAAGATATTTTGCTTAATTGCATTTGCAAAGTTAATCATTCATCTTGAAATGGAGTTTACCAGGCGCTACCTTCCAATGGAGTGGGAAGAGCGATGGCGGAAAGAGAAGGAGAGGAGAAAAAGAATGATTGAAGAAGGTGGAGAAGGGTTAGAAAGAGACAACAATGAACTGAGGCAGATTGTTGCTTATAACAATTCAAAGATGGGCCTAAAAAGTCTGGGTGATAAGACCGAAGAAAATGACTTGAGAAAGACTGAAATTGATATGGAATCGACCAGTGAATGTATGAGTGGTAAGGGATTCGGGGATGTTGGACAGCACGTCTGCACATACTCAAGCAGAACCTTTCATAAGGACATATTTAAGACTCTGAAAGAACTGCAGAATTCCTCTCTTCTTACAGACCTGACACTGACTACTGAGAATGGCAGAAACTTCAATGTGCACTCCCTTATCCTAGCTGCTGTCAGTGGCTTTATTTTAGAAAAACTAAATGAAATAAATGTGTTCCAGTCTTGGAATACTGAGGGGAAAATCAAAATGAGGTCAGTACTAATAGGTTCCGAAGTTGATGAAGTTGGGCTTCAAGCAATTATTGAGTTTGCTTATTGCGGGGATGTATCGATTTTGAACAAGGACACAATAACTCAAATCAAGACTGCAGCCGAAGTACTGAAGGTTCCAAGACTTCTGGATCTCTGCAACAACATGGATACAAGATGTGAAGATCAATGTCCAAAAATAGAGCAAGACATTACTTTTGCAGATGTTAATCTAAAAAATACTCTTCAGTCCATTGAAAGAATGTGGAGAGACAAAGTTGGATGTGATGTCATCTTGGAAGTGGATGGCACTTTTTTCCATGGTTAGTTGACAAAATCTTAGAAACACTGTACTTTATATTCTGTGATAACAGCTAAGTTTGATTTTATTATCTGTCTCTTTAAGTTCATAGAGTTATCCTGGCAGCAAGCAGTGACTACTTCCGTGGGATGTTTACCAGTGGAATGAAGGAATCCCATCAAAACTACATTGCCCTTCCATTTATTCCATCTTGTGAATTAGAGACACTAATTAATTGGTCCTATAGGGGGACCCTTGTGCTTAGCTGGGATTCTGTTTTTGAGATAACCTGCACTGCCCTCCAGCTTCAGTTTCAACCTGCTTTCTTGCTTTGCCTCAGATTCTTGCAAGAACAAATACATATTAACTCATGCCTGGATGTGGCATCTTTTGCTGAAGCATATGGCTTGTCAGGGCTGCTTGAGGAAGCTAATGACTTTATACTGAGGAACTTCAGGGAAGTATCTGCAACTGCTAAGTTTCAAGACCTTGCAGCAGAGAAGC